TATTTTGATATTATGAAGACACGCATCAGAAAGATGGAGGAAAAACACTAAAAAGTCCTCTTTGGATCCAGAGGTGATTTTCATAGTTCTTTCTATTAGATATTCTTTTTTGGTTTTTTCTTTTTGATGCCTAAAGTATTTTTGAATAAATGCTTTTGGATATGGAGCACCGTTAGTGTAACGTTTGTGTAAATCCCTTTTAAGATTCATAATCTAGAAGCACGATCTATTGTCTTGGTCAGTCCATCGCTAAAGGGATGGCTCTTATAAGGTCTTTGTTTTCTATATTTATGAGGTGCTTCTTATATTAATTGAGTGTTATAGTTTTTTATTTTCTATATTTACTGGCATGTTCTTTTGCTTAATCGCGGCAGTGATAAGCAAAATGGTGATATCCATAATTAGAAACGGAGCACAACGATGGTGGTGGAGATATGTTGATAAGAGATGCCGCTGAGTTTTATAGCGTCCGCGGCAGAAGAATAAATATACCGCTGCGTCACAACAATCTGCTATAGCTCTCCACATATTTAAGCCCCAATCAACTAATATTTTAAACAACATGGCCTATGTAGGGACTGAATCAAGGATACAAGGTAAAACGTTAACGTACTAAATATTGGCTTCGTACAGAACAAATTTCATGGTGTGGTGGAGACGGCCAGTAAGAAAGCGAGAGCACTCTGACAAGTTTAACCGAAGGAGTAGTACGAGAGCTTCTTTGTCACCATCAACAGGCCTCAGTCCACTTTTCAACCGAGCCTAAACACAGGCTCCGTGTTACAAATCTTACAAAGCTCGATCGAGACAGAAGACCATCACTAGCTAGATGTAGTGCATGTGAGAGATGTGGCTAGAGGTCACGTGATGCTAATTTGAAAGTCAAACTCCTGAAACTTTTGAACTTTTTTAAGCACTAAGGGAATTTGTTAAGTGAGTTTTATTAGAGAGTATCTATATAGATTGATTTAATTGGTTAAGCTTAGTATTGGTTTAGTCGGTTTAGCTTTCGTTTATGATTACACTTGTATATAATCTTTCTCCTGTAAGTTCTTTACAATTAATGAAGAATAATCTTTAATCTGAAAAGTTTGCTGCTCTTGTGTCAAAACTCTTCCCTTAAGTTTTTTTTTTTCACAAGTCTAATGGAGAAATTCAATCCGGGCTTATGCCATGTGATGAGATGGCAAAGAAATTAATTGAACTCGGGATGTTTTAGTTGCAGTTAAAATTGCGGTCAATGAGACAGTCGAAATGTATAAGATATTTTTGTTGATGAACGTGATGTTCTTAAAAATGAGTCTTAAAAGACAAAGCCCTCCTCTGAATGCATATATACAATATTTTGGGATTCTAAATTCCATATGTTGTAAACCATATCGTGAGTGTGTGGTAGTTTTCACTAAAAATCAAATCAAATAAAACCTTTTTTGTTCTAGAGATATATGTTGATATTGCACTTCATGTGAGGTATAGTTGCGGCGTGAACACAAATACGTGCACCACAATAAACTGAGTACCCCACAATTAACTCGGTAACTATCACTAAAATCATATCTATTTAAAATTTTCTTTATTTCTGGTTAGCGCTCTCTTAGGATTAAAGCTCCCTGTCTTAAGGTTTAGTTTCTTTAATTTGCTAAAAAATTATTTATTGAAAATGTTTTGAATACATTTATTGTAAATTTATGTAGTTTTGAAAACCAATTTAGAATTTTTTATTCATTAAAAATATAAGTGGTATATCTTTAAATTCTTAAAAAAATATTAGTATAAGACGAGTATTATATCATAATATGTTGTAGTAACCATATCGTGAATGTGAAGTCATTTTCAATAAAACCAAATCGAATAAAAC